CTGAATGGTACGAGTCGACAGTGAGAGAATTTCAAAGATTATCTGAATTAAGCACGATATAGTCCACAACCAAGAACGCTATCACAGCTATCTTTTGGTAAAGCAATGATCACAAATTTTTATATGGAAAGACCTGGTGGAATCCACATCTTCGATTCATATGTGACATTATCCGTTAATTGTTGACGTGAAACTTTCGAATTCGTTCAGTCGCTGTGGAGGAAACGGCTGATTTCAGAGCGAATGATTGCTAAAACAAAAAGGATGATAACCAGCACCTAGCGCAAACTTCTCCAAACTTCAAGAATTTTCATTGAGTAGATTTGTATACAACTTGAATAATTCCAGCTGGACATATCCGCAAAAGTATGCAGTTTCAAAGCACGCCGCCTTTTCCAGCATTTATCGCCACAGTGTCACTTCTAACGGCTAAATTAGCAACGTTGATTTTGTATAGTGAGAGTTCAGTTAAAAGAATCAAAGGCGCATCAAAAAGAACCTCCATCCAGACAATTGTAAAATTGTCTAGTATCAAGACAGTTTCAAACGAATGAACTAATACGAGAAGCATTCGAAAGTTGTTTCCCGACGGGTACTGCTCATGTCTGTTACTTTCGTTGTAAACAACGCAAAATAAATTGGTATCGCGAGGACAAATAGAATATTGTCCATTTTAGATGAATAGTCGGCTTGGCATGATGATAATTTCTGTTACATTTCATGTTCATTTGTTGAACCAACGTCACTGACGAAATTAATCTCACTAAAGAGCCCTCTCATTCCGTATTGTCATCAATCTAAGCCTTTGTACCGCTGCTTCTCATTCCCTGATTCTCTCGGCTTCAGTAGCGATACCGATAATTGGCGATAATTGTAGCGATAATAGCGATAATTGTAAGTAGCGATACCGAGAGCAATTGCATTGCTTCAATAGTGTGATTTCCGCGTTGGACATAGGATATGCAACACGAATTATAAACTGAACTTCACAACGAGGACATTTCAGAATATTGTAAGTGACTATTGAGTTGCTGAATAAAAGTGCGTCTACAGCTAATCTGAGAAGACTCATCTGTTGCTCAGTTGTACGAGCGGTCCTCGATAGAGCCGCTTCACGCAGGTTATCAGATGCCGTTCGTAGAGCAAACGGTAATTCTGCATAAATGCCATGAATTGAATGATTCAATCCCTGCTCAAATTTCAGTGCAAACTTGCTTCTGAGCAAGCGGAAACCCTCCAATAAACCACGAACTAAGTGTCAATAAAAAGCTTGAAATCTATCTTTTAAAAAGGAATTTATAATATTGGAGTATTTTACATCCCAATCTTGAGAAGTTTGCACGTGATATTATGATACACGTTGTGTGGACGGGAACGGTTTTTATTTTGAATGAAAATATTGATTTTGAACCGGTTGAATAAATTTGAACGAATTATGAAACTTTGAAATTTTTGGTCTTACTGCCCGAGAACTTCCTGCTATACCGTCACGCGTTGTCGTTCGATCCAATATTGAAGAACACTGAATTCAGCTCATTCTTTTACAATAGCAAATCCATGTCCAAACCAAAAATCATACTTTAGCAGCAGCCCAATCGTTCTTTCTATGTTGCTCTTTCGTATATACTGATTTGAAGAGAAACAAAGAATGAGAGGCACCACAGAGACTGGAAATAGGTGAGAACATAGAATGAGAGGACTGTTCAGTGAGTTTAATTACGATTCTATCATCAATTACGTTTAGTTAGGAAAGGATTTCTAATGGACTATTGCAAACTGTAAAAGTTACCTATGTATAAGAGAAACACCTAGATGAATATTTTTAGATTGATCGTTTAGCAGTGAGCGATACACTTGGAAGCATACCTTTATCTCGGCAAGCATCATTCACTATTGACATATCTTTTTTTTCGTTTCCTTTAATGATTTGCTTCTTGCATGGTAATTTTGTTTTCTTTAATGATTACTGCGTTTCGCTATTTAGTTGGTCTTATGACAGAACCCAGATACTTCCCAAAACAATATTCTACGACAGGAATTCCCATTCCCTCTGACAATTAGTCAGTTCCTGGCGAGGAATTAAAATAAACTCGTTTTCAGCAAATTGCTTTATTGATCAAGAAATCTGTTGCGAACAATTCGTCGCTAGTGTGAGAGGAACATTGCCGAAAAGGAAAACAAAACATTGACCACTATTACTAGCCAACTTGCTAAGAATTATGATGGCAATGCTATCAAAAATGACTCATCAATGTTCATCGTCAAGTTGAGACCCACGGGAAAACTTTTCCCCTGTCTAAGAGAGAAGCACTGCTGTAGAAAAGGGATATGAAGAATTATTAGGACGAAGATAAGAGTTGAGAAAATAAGAAAATGAACTGAATGATAAAATAGTGCAGACAATTGGAATTGAAACAAATATGATTTTTTGTGAAGATGCATCTTAGTGAATTGCAAATGTAATCCAACAACACATCTGCTTCTCATAAATCACGAAACATGCTCTTTAAATCGAACATTACAACACTGATAAGCTGATACACAGAAGTGTTCTGACAATGCTGACAAGCTCTGAGGATACAGATCACGATGGATGTAGGGCACACGATTGATATCACTTGCAATGTATGAATACAACTCTAATTTCTTGGTGATAGGCAACAGAAATTCTAATTTCAAAAAAATTGTGTATGTAGGATGCTAACGATCCGTTTGGATTCTCTGCGAACTTATCTGTATATGCAGCCATCCATCCACCCACAACATTTTTATTGCACAATGATGATGGTCATGGCGTTTTGCTTTGCACATTTTATGTGTGGCTTAGTCGTTTAATTTCGTTGTCAGGCCGATGTTCACTAGAATTGAGGATTTGTGCGGTCGTATTTTGAGGGGAGCATGTGACGTTGTTAGGAAACGACATCCTTAATTGAGATATCTGGCCGTTTTGCTTTATGATTGCCACTCTGTTTTTAGTCGTTGTGCAAGCCAAATCATATTGCTGTGGTTTGATATGATATTGTCTGTTTTATTGATTGCTTGTCTGAATTATTATCATATTATTTTGATATGATATTGTTCTGATGAGTGTCCGAAATGTGAGTGATAAGAATGGCATATATTGAAGTGCTGTGTAATAATAACTGATAAATTATGTACCTATTCTAATGTAAGGGTTAGTTCTAAATGGATCAATTAGTGATTGTATGTTTATCTGTTTTCAGTTATCTGCAGTCGATTTAAACCGCAGCACTGGTTACTGAGTGCTGATTAGTTTCTTCGTAACGAATTCCGTATTGCATTCATTGCCTCTCTCTCTCGTATTTCCCTTCAGCCTCTGCATAATCTTAATCCTATTCAACTCATCCTAACAATAAGTGAACTATCTGGATAGATGACTTAATTGCTCTTTATAAATTCTTCACTCTACCAACTGAACATTACAAAATGTCCAGCTGACCAAGTCAAAAAATGTGGAAGTTTTGTACATTTCAGTGATGCGTTTCCTTGAATTATTATTCAAACCACTATTATACTGGTTGTTTTCATTCGAGTTTCATTTTCATTACCTCTTCATAACTGTTTTTATTTCAGTTTGTACTTCCGATTTTCTAGTTTTTCGATTGTTTTTCCAGCAATGCTTGCTTCAGTTCACAATGACAAGTTTCGCAATGTTGCATTCGAAATAAAAACGATAAGGGAGAGCATCAGCGATACTTCAACTCATCGTTAAGACGCTTCTGATTATTGCTGGTATTCGAGAACTGTGTCATATTAATAAATTGTAACCTTATGACCGCAAGATGTGTGTGAATGTGTGTGCGTGTGCATTATTCGGATGAGTAGCAATTGACTCGACTGGTTTTGTTTGCTAAACATACCTGTAATCGAATATTGATCCGTAGTGTTTAAGAAGTGCATCTTTTAAGACGTACTAATTACTTTTCGAAATTCACTAATCACCTACAACTTGTCAGAAAGTTTCAGAGAAAGTGTAATCTTGTACACTGAAGTAATCTTATACACTACGAGTGCCATTATGATGATGTTGTTTGAATTTTTAATGGAAAAAAATAGTTTTTAGTTATTTTATCTGTTGAATTGTTCCTATTTATCCATTCAATATCATATTGGGCTGTTTTTAGTAATGATTGTTTTGCTGAACAAATCGTTTACTTGATATTCCATCGAAACTTTTCGAATACGTACTGATTGTACGGTTTATCGTGAAGTGTAATTGATGAGTTAGGTGTATGAAGGCTGAGTGACAGCAGTCGTTTGCTTGTTGATATGCGAGTGATAAAAAGTTTGAAATGATTTCAGTGATAAAGAATGATTTGTGATAATAGCGAGTGCACTATTTACTTGCGTTCATTTATTTCATTAAGAACTTTTCTTGAAAAAGTCATCGAAATCATTCGGAAAGTGAATTAATCCTCCGTTTTCACTTTCGGTTTCACTCTTCAATTATCCCGTTATTGAAACATAAATTTTAATGTTTTTTTTGATTTCTTTTTGAGCAATATTTCAAGGCAATTTGTTCATCAGAAACGTTTGATTTAAATTTCGTGAACGGTTCTTGTGAATATTACGTTAATTTATCGAAACGTCCGTTTCAATGAATTTTTCATAACGATAATAATTATGATATGCATTTTTTTTCCGAATTGCTGAATAATGTAATTAGAAGTGTTTGATGGGCGTAAAAATGGGTTAAGGGGAACGCTGATGAGCAAATCGCACTATGACGTCCAAAATCCCATTATGAATCTGATCAATTCGTGAATCGTTGAAGGTTCCGGGACAAAGTTTCATATTGCTTTCGTATGTGAATTGTTGAGTAGTCAAAGAGATTGACGAAGCCTCCGGTGGTTGAGTCCAAAGAAATTTGTGATCGTTTACAGTTGGACAGTGTGGATCACTGTTCGGTGCTATAGGTGAAAATGCTGTGAATCCCAGTTGAATGCAGCTTTCCGTGCGATAACAACTGTGATTTTCAGATGACCACCCAAAAGACGGTGGTGATTCCAAGAAGTAAAGAGGAACGTGACAAGATCAAAGAAGGATTCATCGAGGATAACAACGATGCTATCGCATACTTGGATTTTCCTCTACTAGTACCATCAGCGGTTGTTACTGTATTCAGTGTTGTCATCCTCGTGTGTGCAATTGTTCTATCGATATGGTTTGATCAGGAACGACTCAGGAACCACACTCTGACACCGTGGTTGAATGTTTTCGGATGGGCTGGAACTGCATGCATAAACGTTCGTCATCGTTTCTGATTTAATGCTAACTGACATTGATGCGTTACGATCGTGCAAACATTCGTCACTCCGATGTAGACTCAAACAAGAACACATTTAAGAATTTTGTGTTTCGAATAAGAATTTTGTGGAAGAAAAGAATTCAAATTCACTTTTGGATATAAAAACGAAAAGTTTTCTTTAGAATCTTGAGCAAGTTTTGAGGAATTCTTCTTTCAGCAGCACTTTCATTCATTTATCTCATTGCTTGTCGTTACACTAAGAATGTCTTCACTAAGATTTCACAAAATGCTCATTCGTCGTGGATGCTGAAAACGCTTCATTTTGAAGTTTGTTACTTTCAGGCAACAGCAAGCGACATTCCAAAGCATTGGATGCCGTCAGTTTTACGTTTGTTTGAACTGAACGTATTAGGAAACGTTCTTTTCCGTATTGTAACGGTAATACCGATCGCAATTCGTTTATTCAACTCATTTATTACGCAATCAAACAATACTCTTCAACAAGCAAACGACAATCCACTGTATCATTTTTGTAATACAGTAACGCCGTATCTTCTGTTCGCAGAACTATTCTCATGTGCTCTGTTCTCGATCATAACAATAAGGCAGGATTTCCCAGGTATTTCTGCATTTTCCTGTGCTCAGTGTCTGTTTGTTTGAAAATCAAATGATAATCATAACTACCTCTGATTAGATGTCTCATTTCACTGGAGTTTGTAATTCAGTGCTGTTGAGATATGTGGAAAGTGGATAATGAATTGATAATAAATTTGCGTTTGAGCGATATTATTTAGAGATTATTGTTTGCTGAATCATGAGCGTTGTGAATCATGATGGGCATAATTTTCGACTCATTTTGATTAGCTCGTCTAGTGGATTTGTGCGTTCTTTTGAATAACTGAACATTAATTCAACGAGGTTGTAAGAAAATGAGATTGGGTTTTTTTTCATGAAGAGATTCATCGGAATGCATTGTTTGTATTCGTGATCAGTGCTACGTTACATATGATGACACATACAGCAACATCAATCCAGAATACACGAAAGGAACAGAAGGTTTGTTGTGCGCGCCTTCCATGTTAACATATTAGACGTTACTTTTTCAGCCAACGTTGTTATGACTTTACGTAAATCAATTAAGTGAACTCAATCCGATCCACTTGTTGAAGTCATATTTTCACTAATTGTTATATTGCAAACAGGGATTTTTGACGAGGAAAGCGGTTCATTTTCCATCTAACGAATTCTGTGCCTAAGTAAGTTGTTCATTGATATTAAGAATGGTGATTGTTCTCCGATCGTTCGATCGCTGGTTTCATTTCAGAGAATCGATCACTTCTCTAGCATAGTTAAGGCTATCTCACTGGTCGGTTTTGCCTTCACTGCACCATACTTCTTAACTCTGCAGCAACAATTCATTGACTTTCCAAGCTGTCATCCATACGGTATTTGTTTCATTCAAAAGTATAATTTTCATGCGAAAATCTACCACGAACTTTTCGAACCTAGAGTGTGCACACAAATTTTGTTTCATTTCTCGAATAAAAACTGAATTTTATGAATTAGTTGCGATTATTTTACAAAAATGATTGATGGTTACGAAGTTTTGTACGACTCATCATCTTCGATCAGTGCCTTCGTTCACGGAGTCGAGATTCAAAAATGTTAACAATAAGATATGGTGACGGTGCTGCTACTATAGAAAAGACTTATCGCATATATCATTCTTGTCCATTATGAAATCAATCCTTAATGAAACATATCAAAGGATCATTCAATCCATTCGTGTAGCAAACGAATCTTGTGAATTATAACNATTAGTAAAAATTATTTATAGCTGTCAATGATAAACAATAATGAATATTAATTAATAATAAAATAACTGATAATAATTTTTTTCTATCGTTTTTAGTTCCTCCGTTCCAAGCATTATGTGAATACATAATGTTCGTGAGCAATGCAGCATTCCATATAACAACTCTCATTGACATTCGTCATTCCAGGTGGTGCAAATGTTTTGTTTGATACAATAAGAAAGGAGCTAACGAATTGTTCTTTAAGCTGCTTATTAATGATCTTAACTTATTTATTTCACTTTCTATCTTGATTCATTTCTATATGGTCAGCACAAGAATCACACTATTGTCTTTGCAGATTCGTTTGTTATCCACGTACAGCGTCCGGTGAATGTGAACCAGTGAAGCCTTCAAATTTCGGTATTGGAGGTCCGTTCGAACACTGTCGATCATGGGAGTTGGCTCAAAGGCAATCCGAGTTCACCTTCAAACCCGTGGATCGTAGTAAAATTTCCTAACAAGGTGTTCGATCGCTTGCAATCGATGCAATAAAGGAACTGTCTTATCTTCATTCATTCCATCAAGTGCAATGCTCTTAATGTTCACTTTTACTTTTACTCACTTTTACGACATATTCATGATGGTATAATTCTTTGAAAATGGCATTTGTAGAATATTTTTTTCACGGAAATGTCAAAATAATGTGGTCAAAACTTATGAAATACCGTTATTGTGAAAGATTCAAGCATTGTTCGTTTCAATATTGTATATATAATATTTTGTGATTCGCTAAAGAATTTATGGCGAAATCAGAAAGGAAGCAGTTTGCCCGCGATTTATTCCCTCTCCAAATAACGATAACTCATTTGCACTTTCAAATAATAATTTACACTGCAACTGCCATCCAAAATCGCTTACAATGACTTCGATTCGCAGTGTAAGGTTTTGGAACCGTAGCAGCTTTTGGAGATTCAGCTAATCGTAAGCGAAATTAATTCCAATTCGGTCACCAGTTCATTGATAGCGATACAAATAGTCACAATTTTATGACCAAACTGACTGCCTCTGGTTGTTGTATTTTTTTGTGAATGATTAATACGACTGTGCATATCCGTTGATTCAATAGTTTCATCAATTAGATTTTGTTTCTTGGAGGAATTTCAAGGACGATACGAAGTGAAATAAATATTATTTTCGCTTTTCTTGCGGTGCTACACAGCCATCCACCCGACCGACCACTTGAAAAAAAAA